CTAACGAAAACAAAACTTATGAAATACACAATGACATCTGAACTTCTCATATTTAGAACGAACTGTTTGTTCATACTTACTCTTTGACAGGAATCATGCCAACAGCTGGAAAACAGAAGAGAAAACAAATTATAGTGTATGTGGATATAAAGTATGAAGATTTCCGTCTTCTGGGTTGTTGCGCTGTGTAGTCTGGTCGATATTAACCAACGTTTAAGAGGTCATATTGCCTCCATCATCAGGGCCCTGATGACGGAGGCAGTACGCCCTCTGAAACGTTGGTTAACATCGACCAGACTACACAGCGCAACAACCCAGAAGACAGAAATCTTCATATTCACCGCTGTGAAAACCTCATATCTTACGATATGACAGACAGCTGGAAATATCAAGGAATTATAAACCACAACTTATCTAATATGTGAAGTAAATAACTTCACGTGCGTGCACAATTCATGTTATAAATTTGCTTGATATAGAGATACATTTATCTTCACCATTAATTCCAGTAATGAATATAATGTATGTTACAAAAACAGACTGTGATACCATGCCTGTCCTTTTCAGTTCAGACACCAGTTCACATCCTTCTTTAACAGTGAGTACTCACTTCTGACTCTGAGTTCCAGATGATTCTGACTCTTTATGTATAGTAATACTTCTCGGTGGACAGCATCCACTACTGAGTATCCATTTATCTTTACGATCTGATCACCTATCTGTAGACATAAGAATCTTAGTTACAGTACATCAGTGGTCCCCAACCTTTTTGTGCCTACGGGCACATTTGAGAGTTTATGAGATTGTGGCGGGCACCAACCAACTAACAAAGCCAAATTTTTTTTTCTCTGTACAAATAAGATAATGGACACCAAATAATACACAAAACAACACGACGTTTAATGATACAAGCAACCATGCAATAAAAAATACATACTTTTATAAGTACAATTATTATTACTCAAGTGGGAAGTTAGTGTGATGTTTGGCACTGCATTTCATCGGCCAGTTTTTCAAATTTGGGAGTGTAGGATGACGTTGCTGCTCGCAAACAATCGTCAAGATGGGCTTCAATAAGTCGAGATCTGTGCTTTGATCTTATAATGTTCATGGTTGAATGGCCTTCATTATTCAGCATAACCTCTTTCCATAACAATGCGGGCACCCAAAAACGCCTTGGCGTTGGGGACCACTACTGTAGAATACTGAAGTTCTGTACACAGTACACTGACGTTTAGTATACAGCACACCAATATTGACAGTTATACACTGGTGTCCGATGCAAAACAGTGACTGTCAATGTACCTCGCACAGAACTTCACTGTGTAACAATAACATTTAGTTCACATTACAATTAAATCAACTGTGTGATAATGTACGCATACTTAACAGTTATGGGAAGCTAAAAGATTGTACTACTATGTTGTAATTTGATGGTTTTATTTTGTAGTGTAAGATCTTACTATAGTAAGCTAACCAATACAATAATATGCACCTTTTAGCTTTACCACATACGTCTGTCCACATGCAACAATTCTGGAACTACTGAACAGATATTTATGTAAATATATGCTGGGGAGGTTTACTAAAATTTGTCAACACTTTCCAGGTTTGGTTAAATTTGGACAATAAATGGAACTTTACATGAAACTTACGTGTAACTACAAAGAAGTGGCCCTGAAACAATGTGGGAGGAATCCTCAAGAAACATGCCCATGCAATGGTAATTGACTCCAGAAAACTCTTAAGTCATCACTAGCATTTGCAAATGCAAATGTTTTGATGGAATAAGCAGCCTTCATTACTGCATACATTTCCCAACTTATTTTTTTTGTTTCCTACAAATTTAAAAATTGGTAACAAATTTTCTGCAAGAGCCCCTTAAATTCTGTACCCTGTTAAGACAAATACTTTTACAATTGTGCTCTAATTACTCTTAAAGGCATCTAGATCAACTAAATGAAGATAAATATATTGTATAAGTGTCAACAACGATTAGGTTAATCCTACATATCAGAAATATGAATCATTTTGTAAGTCCATTACTATATGCAGTTACCCCTGGTAGGAAAGGAATCAACCTACATCAGCAGTCATAAAGGTTTCATTCCTGAACACTACAAACCCAAAGAATTCAAATAAAAACTCAAAGTCTGTGGCAGTTTCTAATGCAACTAACCTTCAGGCCCTGACAGTGCGCCTCTGATCCCTGTTCCACTGCAGACACAAAGAATCCAGTGCCATGCTCTCGACCACCACGAACTGAGAAACCAAAGTTTGGAGGACCAGGATGATTCCCCGTAAGTCTTCGATGCAAGCGTATTGTTCGCATTCTTCCATGTCCACTGCCTCCTCCACCGCTGTCAGATGTGCAGACAGACGACGGAGCTGAATAGTTTGGGATCGAGGAGCTGTACTCCATTTGCTGATGAGGAGGAACCACCATTCTGTGGAGTAAAGTAAATCAGCAATGTTACCATGCACAGAATGACTTGGGGGCCCTCCAAGTCTCCTATCCAATAGGCACTGAAGGTCTATCTGTGGGGGCAAAGCACGGAACATACCGTCACCTCCTCTGTATGAGAGTGGAGTTTTACCTCCACTTCCCCTACACATCTTAATGCCAAGGTGTTTTAATTTATTTTAAATGCATTTGTGGCATGTTTCCTTTTGTAATCTTTGGATACACTGAAAGTTAAACCATCATTAAGAAATTATACAGTAATGTATGCATCACAACAGATAATGATGTGCTTTTAAGGGAATCAAAGGCTAGTTACCATGATCACAAGTCTTCAATGATATCCTATTCTAAGCCAATTAAATCCACCTCCCACTTTAGCACCATTTCTCTAAAATTCCTTTTAATATTACTTTTCCATTTATGCCTTGATCTCCAAAATGGTCTACTTTCTTTGGAGTTCCAAGCAACATTTCGTGTAAATATCTCAGTTCCTCATGCATGCTACATGCCTCACTCATATCATCCTATTTATTTGTTTACGCTAGTAATATTATGTGAAGAGTACACACATTATGACGCTGTAAATGTGTAATATTATCCATCTTCTTGTTGCTTCGTTTCTCTTACGCTCAGATATTATTCTCAGCATCCTATTTTCAATGACCTTCAATCTATCATCTTCCATCAGTACGAGAACCAAGTTTCATATTCACATGAATCAATGGGTAAAACTGTAATTTTGTACATTTGGAACTTTTAGTTATTATATACAGAAAGTACTGGAGAAAAGATTTTGAACTGGGTAGTAGCAAGTATTTCCCAAATTAGTCATGGTCTTACCATCATACAGAGTTCAGGCAACTCGGTAAAATTACATTACAACTTTAGTCTCTCAGAAACATGGCTACAGTGCGAAGTATTTTCACTGGATGTCGATAACTATGCTTCATTGTAATTTTATATGTGAAAGTTAATTGATGACATTTACACACACATTTCGTACGTAGTAAGGTTTTTGTGTGTGAGTTCGTTAGTCTTTTGTTGGTGGGAATTATGCAATCGTGGGAAAGTGTCTTGGGCCAGGGTTCGAATGCACCTTCACACTGCTTCAACGTAGAAACAGCTTGGCGCAGAAACTTTGGAAACTGGTCATTTCTTGAGAGTGAGGAAGAGATGGGTTCTAACGATTGTGCGTTACGTTCAAAATTGCTATTTATTCTGGACTTGATCAATCGTTCAATATTCTAAAAAATATCACTACGTTTCGGGAGCTAGCTATTCTCCCGTCTTTAAATGAAAATACCTATTTTGTTGAGTCCGACAGAAGGGGATAATCCAAATCTAAAAAAGTAGCAAAGCATTTGGATTAGCCCCTCATATTGGGTCCAACAACGAAGGTATTTTCACTTGAAGGCGGGAGCAGAGCTAACTCCCGAAATGTAGTGTCATGTTTTAGAATATTGAAGTCCAGAGAAATAACAACATTGAGATGCTAGGATGTGGCGACAGATTATGAAGATTGAAGGCAGATCAGAATCATGTGGTATTTGCAGAGATCTTCGGTCGTAAGTTACACAAATACCTGACACCGAAATGGTATGTCCCGTAATTGGATGCTGCAGTGCAGCATCTGAATCATGCAGTCCGCATGTGGTTCTCGAAACATTTTCATGCGGCCCGTCACATGATTTATGAAACAACCAATGCGAGACGTGCATAAATCAACCAACAAATGCAGCTGAGAAACACTTATACATAGCCTACATTATATAAACGTAAGGGCAAACAATAGAAAAAATATTTCAACAAAAACAAAATAATTGTACATGCAGGCCGATTTAAAATGGCACATTGTTTTGTTGTTTAAAAAATTTCAGACTAAACAAAACAATACGAAAATACCGTGGTATTGATAACTGGAGTTTTGTAAGAATAACACAACAGTTAGAAAGCTGACAAAAACGTCTGTACGATAAACTCGGCGATCAAAAAATACAAGTGTTCTTCATTTCAAAGTGAATATCGGGTTTTAAGTTAGAGAAATGCGGTTTCGTTCACTGTCCACGACATTATCTACAAAGACATGAACAGCCAATAAGACCAGCGGCAATGAAAAGGAGACCATCCCGTGGCCTACTGCTACGATCTTGGGTTTCCTCTTCTTACTTTCAGAACGTTTAACTTCCTGACTCTTAACACCTTCCATCGTAAGCTTTTCGTGAACAAACCTCCCGCAATTACTGTAGGCCTACTTCCAGGGCAGAAGTAATTTATTTTGGCTAGACTCTCAACGTAAAAATAAACTCAGACAAGAAAAGCCAACATTTCTAAACTGACATTCTTAGTGCGTAGTATGTAAAGGATTAATTCAAGTCCCTGTTTGTGCAATCCTAATTATGTTTACTAGCAGTCAGCTGTGTCAGGTGTGAACGCACAAAGAGAAATATTTCAAATAAGGAGCAATGAATAACCATTATATTATAACATCAAACATGAAGAAACAATATACGACAACGCAGGACCGTGTCGACAGAAAGCAATATTGTGACATTAGCATGCAACACGAATTAAAAAGTGAAAATGCTTTTAATATCTGAAGCATGGATACATGAACTCTTTTGTTCATCGCATGCTAACTTACATACTGAGTGCGTAAGCATCACGGAGACAAACGACTTTCGATAGCTGGTTCATGAACGACACCTGTAATTGATATAATTAGACGTATTTAAGAGGCCGGAACGGGCCAACAAGTGCGTAATTACTTGATAGCTAGATAACGATGTATTAATTTAACCTATTAAGCAGTGAAGATGTGATAAGAAACAAAGTTGTGCATTCTTTATTCATCTCCGAATATAGCTAGTCTAGCCAAGAGAAGTTTCTAGAAAAGAAAAGAAAAGAAAAAAAGAAGAAGAACATTTTCCCTCTTTAAATGAAACATAAAGAGTAATAAAATAAACCCTGTATCCAAGGTTTAATTCAATACGCATGTTTCAGTGTGACGTTCATCCAAGATCATTAACAATTATTTACAGCAGGGAAACGAAACTCCCATTAAATATTTAATGGCAATTTTATCAACATTTCATACCCGAATTTAGCAACACTACAGTACATAGGCACAAACACCCTATTAATAACACACGGAGGCAGTGTAAAACATTACCGACCTGAAAATACAGATTTTAAAACGCGATCACGACCTTTAAAGTCGATAAGTGAGTCGCCGTTCGAGCTGTGAGCGGCTGTCACCTGTCCAGAATACGTACGTGGAGGCGCGTCGTTCGGAACGTCATATGATGACCACACAACCTGTCTCTCATCTGTGTAATTCTTACACTTGTGGGCACAGTCGAATCGAGACGTGGCGTCCTCTTGTTTACAGGTTCCCCAAATATTCATGCAGACATGCGACAGGACACTTTGGATGGGAGGTCAGGTCAGCTTATGTCAAGGTTGTCACCACAAGGCAGTACAGAAAATTGTTAATATCCTTGTCCCCACCGGAATTTGAATCACTGCAACGTAATATCTGCATTCGAGAGACCCTTTAATAATTCACTAGTGTTATTTGCTCTCAGTTTAGTTCAGTTTAATTCAACTGACGTTAGGTTGAGTCAGGTTACGGTGCGTTTCGTTATGTTACGTTCAGTTGGCTATGGTTCGTTTGCTTTTTAAGTTATGTGTTACGTTACATTACTTTAAGTTGGGATGCATTAGATTCATTTGGACTGGTATAGGTTGTGTTAATTTGGTTTGGCTTGAATAACGTTACGCCAGATTTCGAAAGAGAATGTTGGCTATTTCGCGCTCCTCGGCGTCGTGATACCAGCTTCAATTAAGTTTTGTTGCAAAGTTAAAGAATCCACCTTCACGAAGACTAGAACCCAGGACACTTTCCCTTCCTGTAATGTCTTCGCGGAAACGAACAGCTTTGAATTTCTTCCTATTTTTTTCATTGTGCCTAGCGTCGCTGTTAAAAAACTCATATTCACCAGAACTCAAACTCAGGACTAATTTTTGGAGCTGTGGTCTTTTTTCCCTATTAACCGCCTAGCCGAGACAACTTTGGTCATGGCGCTGATCTACCACCACTCACAGTTTTCGATCTACAGAAACCACCTTAACCGATACTCGACGCCAGGACAGGTTTTCTGGCTTTTTTTTTTAGTCAACTCCCCGAAATAAAGAATTTTCGTCTTAAGATGGCTTCCTTCTGGGTTGTTGCGCCTTGTAGTCAGGTAGGAATTTACAGACATTTCAGAGGTCCTTGCTACCTCCTTCATCTTGGCTACGGTTTTCTGTTATGTTTAGTTTCGGAGATACACAAACCTTCTTCACAAGAACTCGAACACTGGACAGGTTTTCGGGGGTCTGGCCTTCGTTCCTATATTCTCCTCTTCGAAATAAAGAACTTTGTTCCTGGCGCCGTACTTGTATAACGCTTTCACGCTTAGTTTGCGAGGTACAGAAACTGCCCTCACCGGAACTCAGTCTCAGGACACCTTGTTCCGGCCTTCCTAGTTTCTCTTCCTGGTCTCAAGGAATAAGCATGCCAAATTTGGTGCAAATCGGTTTACCCGTTCTCGCGCTATAAGCAAACGTACACACACATATAACTTCAATTTTGTAAACAGGATAGGTAACAGACAACAATAAATTGTGTACGCAAGCCATGCGGCGGTGCAAAATGTTGATGTACAATATGCAGAAATGACCCACTAAAGTGGATAGTTATTAACTTAAGTAACTTTATCAAAGGGACTGAAATATTTGGACAAAACTAGGCGTTAAATTTTCCCTGGGCTTCTAAAACGCCCAAACAAATCCAAACAAACAGACCAGTGTTTCCAAGCGTCATATCTCAGATGTAACAATGTGACGAGCGGATAAAATCACTTCGCTAGTCACAACTTTAGGTCCAGAAATAAAGAGACGGATTTGTTAATATCCTCTACTTTCTCCCTATCGTGAAATTTGTGAAATATTTGCGTTTATATAATTCAAAGAAATGCAGAAAACTCTTCAGAGCGTAATTGCCTTTTGCGGTGGGGAAAGCAAATTGCGTTTCTCATTAGGCAATGCAAGTACCACGTAGAGGAAAACATTAGGTGGTCGGTTGCCTTGGGAACCACAAGGGACTAGTTCTCTCATTAAAGGAAAGCGACCCAGTTTTTATTGGCTCTTTTAACGTGGACATCGAAGTGACCACAATGGGAACACATCACATGTTAAAAACGACTCTGAGGTGTCTTCAGCAATACTGATTAATGTGAAAGTCACTGTCGGCTAAGAATTGTTATCCGTGAGCAGGTGATAATGAAAATACTGGAAAGGTCTACTAAAACTTGGAATAAAAAGTTTCGAAATGTGTTTTTTGTTATTTCTTCTTCCCCGTGTGTCTGTGTTACATATATACACAAACCACACACACACACACATATATCTATATATACACACTGTAATAGAATGTATGGTGTCATCACTGACTGAAACCTGTCCTACTATAGTCGCACGTCGTGAAGACGTATGGAGAAATGGAGGAAAATCTTTACTCATTCTTGACCTCGACAATAAAGAACGATAAATAAGGCGAATTAAAATATATGTAAACACAAAATGTCTTAATGCCTTCAATTACACGGTGTTTAAACCGAGTTTCATTAATATCAGTCAATTAATATTCATGTACCGATATATGCACGAGAATCAGGGGATTAAAGCTCGTTTATATGATTCCATGGAAAATCTCTTATCAACAAGTAATTGCAGTTGGACTACCGACAGAATTTTAAATGCAGAAAACTGTTTTATCAACATATTGAAGCCTTCTGTACACAAACCTGTTTGGCAGACGTGCTGAGGTTTTGAGCTATGTCAGGATACGTACCAAACACAGCCAAGTTTCCTGTTTCGTCATAATCACTGGTCATTATGTAGCATCCTCACCAAGCGGCGTTCTTATTGTACAACGACCCTGCTGACAGAATAACTTCCTCTAAATGAAGTTGCGTTACAGAGTCCCCAGCACAGACTGTTCAGTATTTCTTGATGGAACTTTAACTGCGGGCCCGAGTTGATGAAGGATCTAAGACGCCCACAATCTTGATTCAAAGGCTGGAATTCCACTTAGGGCATAATTCTAATCTGAATACATGCACAAATTTCACGAATTTAATCTACTCTTTAATTTCACTGTGAACGTAATTATAATATTACTGCGTTAAAAGCAGATTTTCCCTATACCGAAAAAATTATTACCTATGTTCAAAGTATGGTTTTGCCATTATTCTGGCGTTGAGGAATATATTTTGCTGACTGCTTTGTAATGCATACGTAAACGTTCATGTTTTCTTAGTACATATTGCTTTCGAAACTATGACCATAAAATACCCAAAGGATAAGTGTGACGTCAAGTGATGACTCATGAGCAAATGTGTGCAAAAATAACACACCTTAGCTAATTATGGCACGTATATTACGATAACACGATGCTAGCTTAAGGACTATCTATTGCAGTTGGGGGTAGAACATTCAGTAAGCCCCACGAGTTCCAATAATAAGAAACATGTTTGCAGCGTTATATCATATAAATATCGACCATGCAGATTAGTGTAGCGGTTACCTCTATTTATTTATGGTTTATTTAACAACGCTGTCAGTATCTCTGACAACATAACGTACAAAGATTGCTAATGAGCAGTGGTGGAAAAGATGTGGAAGCAAGCGGTAGTGACTTAATTTAAGGTATTGCCCAGAATTTTATTGGAGGGTCTGAAAAAAACCACATCAGTCAAGAGTTCCACTGCCTATTTGTCCCCACGTCTCAGTGGCATCCACCATACCTTTCTCTTGGACGGATCTCCTTCCACGACGCACTTTCGTTCCGTCTTCCTGTCATTATCTCCGCAATGCATTGTACATATTTCACTCTATATATACCTAACATGTGTATTTTACATTACGTAACTAACTCCACAGAAGAATATTCCTTGAAAACGTAACAGTTGCACAGAGCCGGGAGATTCTCTGCCTTTTTAAACATATAGATGCATCGCCATTTTCATAAACGTTCGACAAATGGCCCTATACTAGGCCAGCTTAATCCAGCCCCTTCTTCACTGCCTATTTTTCTAAAAAAATAATATTAACTTGCTATCTACGATAAGTTCTGCCTAATAGTCTCCCACCTCGATGTTCAGAAATATATTCGAGAAATGCAAAAACAAAAAAATCCGTTTCCCGCTTGTCTCAGAGACAACAATCACTGTACAGTTTTCCCCGTCTCCCTTTTAATTCTTCTTTATTATGCCCAAATATGAATTGCACTGTTGAATAATCTACGAAAATAAATTTTACACTTACTTGCTCAGAATCGCTTTTTCGTTGCGGGAGTTCACTTTACACATGAAAATGAAGCGGTGGATGCTGGCTGCATTGCAATGTCTAAAGTGCCACTACGGAGCCACGGTACATTCGTATCCAAGCTCCACAAGACACGCATGGCCGTCCATTTTTAATATACTAAGTAACTTTATTCCTTTGTCACTGGCTGTGTTGAACAAAACTTGATCCTTTTTCTTCGTACGAATTCGTACTGCGCTCTACTTAACACTTCAACATTTCAATTAAATTCCGTCCAATTTGAAACACTTTGAATGAAATATTGTTACCGTATAAAGATTTACAGACATGAATCTATATTTAATTTTGATATTTTAGAGCAGGATATTCCATTTTAGGACGTCTGCCGATACTACTCTATGAACGTTTCCACTGCAGCATGCATGCCTACCAGTAGGTCATCTTAAGCGGTTGGAATCAGCCTCAGGAAGTTAAAACGTCCTGACCACACGGTTTATCTCATAACGGTATTTACAATTGGCTGACGGATCGTTTCGAACACACGAACTCAGTTAAACAACAACTGATAACGTCTTTATTCGAGGCCCTGGAACAATCACTAAATGTGCAGGAAAGAAGATATACAGACACGTTTTCCATCTACAGTTGAAAGCGACACAGTCCGAATATTTGCTCATACAAGACTGAGATAACACAGCACATGTATTGTGAAATTACAGTTTGATAACAAAAAATACAACATATATCGTCACCGACGTTTGTCACCAAGCAATAACTTTCCATTGTACAAACATTTGAAGAACGCGATAATACATGAAATTTATAATCCTCTTTGTTGGTATACGAGAGATCGAGTTATGGACATATTTACAGGTACCAACTTCATTTAACAGCGTTTCTCGTTTTCTAGTGTCTAAACAAGAGTTAGTAAGTCACTATATTTTCATTGGCCTAATTTGTTTCAATGTAATAGTTCCAGGCTTTACCTTCACTCGGCCAATAAGTAAGTAAAACATTTAATCCACCAGCTGTCGTTTCTGTGGAGGAGAGTCCTACGAGGCATTTTTCTTTCGAACCACATAAAACACAAAGCCACAACAATATCTATACATGACCAACACGTTAGTCACTTATTTTATTGTCTATTGTCTCTTAACTCACTCAAGACACTCTGTTTCTTGAAAGCACACAAATATGGAGCCACCACGACGTATACAACCAACAATACCTTCCTTAGCAACGAATTTCATTCCCTAGCCGTCCATGTTTTCGGAAGTTTCATCGGTGTCTGTCTCTCCGCAGGTCACAGCAACGTCTACACAAGGCCAATACGTCGAAAACTTACAGCAGTTACGGGAGGTTTTAGTGTCAATCCGTTAGGACAATGTCTACACACGGCCAGTACGTTAGTTCCAAAGCCACACAGAGGGACACTGCACTTCCAGGGGTAACACGAACATCACGAATAAGCATCGCTTACTACGCGACCTACCTGCAGCACGTATCGAGCACTAACTGACAAGCTGTTTGCTGACCACCGTACATTTTGAACTGGAGTCACGCAGGAATGTTTCGGTACAGCGGCGGATGTAAGAGAGACAAGTCGGAGTTCTCTTTTTGTGCGTGTTGTTTCACTTCCCTCCTCCTGCATTCATGGTTGGATGACCACCTACCTCCATTACTATCACAAGCTACAGTGTCCGGGTAACGAGATTCCGTTAAAAAGTAGTGTGTATGAAAGTGGAAATACAGACGATATTTTCAGCGTTCATGGAAACGTGTAATATTATCAAGCTCAACACAAATCGGAAGCATTCTGTATCTTCCGGCAACTGCAAATAGATTGATTGTAATTTGTTTCTATTATTTAATTTTCGTCCTTTCTTTATCTCCCCAACAATTGTGATAATATTCACATTTCCTTCAACAACACAGTAATAAGCTCTAGAATTCAAAATGTATGCTATAAAACTGCAGAAGTTGATGCAACGTCATTAATCAGTATGTCAACAGTCGACTGGACAGCCGAAACAGGTAGTCACAACGTTTAACATTTATATTTTGGCATAAAAGATCCTACTATGTTCAATGTACCACATTTGCCCTAATTTAATGCGTAATTCAGATTGAAAGCCAAAACTGAATACTGTTTAAAGTCTACAGACAAGTTCTACAAAATGTGTTAAATAGTTTATAAATACAGTAAACGACAATTAACGTATTAACTCTTTGAAGACCATTGGCAACTATATGCAGGCCTACCACGTTATGTAACAATCTCTACCTCTGCATGTAGAAGAAAGCAGACAATATGGTATATTTCTACTGTTTTGTGTATGGTATTGGCAACAAAAATTCATCAAATTTTATGCATGCCATTTGAATTCATTACAAATAAACCACAAAATACAAATGCGGGCAGCAGTTGTGAAGTTTACTTGAGGAATGGTTATAGACCATCTGTGGCAGGTCTACACAGATATTCGACACTATTTAGGTGATAAAAGAGGAAAACTGGAAGAATAATTTAAACCGAACTATTTCGGAGACGGCGAATCAAATTTAACGTACGTGTGTTGTAATATCTACAGAATGAGACATAACACCGACATAACATATTATGTTATTAATAGAGTGAATTCAAATTACCGATTCAATGCGGTAAAATACTAACACATAAATCATAAAAGCTGAAAAATATAATCCTTCTAATTGATTAAATTCTCAACAAAATCACCGAAAAATATTTACACACCGTGCTAAAATACCGACGCAAGGCAGGCTTATTAAATAATTTACACAGTGGGTTCAAATATCAAAAAACGTGTTAAAATATCGATACAGAGCAATAAAAATATCAGTGACTAAGATGAAAGCATGGATATTCTGATGGACTGGAAGTGATATTATCGACGCTATGAGCTGTAACCGTCTTGCCCAGTGATGCCATCTTCCAAGGTTTCGCCATGAAATGCGATGTTCATCGTCAGGGCCATTTATCAGCAAGGCTGATTATCATATTTTGACAGACCTTGGACAGAGTAAACGGATGTGCTTAATTTAACGCCAAAATACGTTCACCTACCAGGATAACTAGGAAGACCGTATACGCTTCGGGTGCTACAAGTATATAGCTTAAAGATTAGGATTTGAGGTTCTGATGGCGGTGAATACGAATATGGCTGTCTTCTGAGTTGCCGCGTCCTATTTCAGATGTTATTACTGCCTCCATCATCAGTATTCATTGCCCTCATAATGGAGGCAGCAAAGACCTTTAAACAGTGGGTATACTCATTCTATTGCCATTCACATTACGTCATATTTAATTTAAATATTCAATGAATGCTACAAGCATGTACGGAATTTTCGATTCTTCTTTCCTTCGGCTTTTATAGATTTGTTTTAAAGCGAGTTTCAGTACAAAAATACTTATGAAATTATGAATTCGTTTGGATATTTAGTAGGATTCGTTACACATCACAACGCAGAGAAACGCTGATGTGTTGTTGTTCCAGTTACCGGGAAACTGCCACATGACACGCGTCCTCGTATTTGGTGT